TTACAAACATAACATCTCGGGGTGCAAGTATAAATATAATTACAAAACGAAAAATACTTCAAAATTATAAATTTTTAATTTATAAAATATATAATTATATAAATTATATTTTATTATTATAATTATTAATATTAATTTAGTATTGTTATTATTATTAATTAATAATTAATCTTGTAATATTTATTAATATTGTGTATTAATATTAATATTCATTAATAATTAATCTGATGTGAGATTTTAAAAATCCAAAATGGCGGATCCAATATGGCTGATTTTTTTTCAAAATTCATCGGATTCGCTTGAAAATCATTACTCAGGGGTTTTTGAGGACGCTAATTACGAATTTGATATCAGATTTTTAAAATCCAAAATGGCTGATCCAATATGGCAGACTTTTTTTCAAAATTCATCGCATTCGCTTGAAAGTCATTATTCTGGTGTTTTTTTTTCAACGCTGATTACGAATCTGACATTAAATTAATGATCAGTGACTTATTAAAAGTTTTAATTAATCAAAAAAAGAATTTTAATTACCGAATTTAAAAATTGTATAATATGACTAGATATTAAAAATAAATAAAAGATATCTTAATTACCAAATTTTGAAATAAAGATATTAAAATAAAATTAATGGCGAAATTGATAAAAAAAAAGAGAAGAAAAAAAACAGCAAAAGAGGAATAAATTTACTGTGAATGCATGACATAAAATGATGTATGGGACTTTGTTCTGTGGAGTTATTACATGAAACGAGCTTACATATGGTGGAGAAGAAAGGCGCTACGCTCGACTAATAATCGTTATAAAAGTGAACCGCGCATAGGGCCATGAGTTGTTTCGCAACTAAACTCATAATCTCACATACAGCTTGCAAGCTGAGCTTTCCCATGCGAATTTCTCCGTCTCTCTGTTATATATATATATACAGCCAGAGTCCTGGTTTACGTGAAATTCAACCGTACAATGCATCTACAATAATATACATATATATGCTCGTTAAGGACAATACATCTCCTCCTATGTATTTTCCCATTATCAATATTCACAAATGTATCTATCGCTTCTTTTGATAAAATCAATAAAAAAAATAAAATTCTGAAATAATATTTTTTATTTCCAAATATATTGAAAAATTAATTATATTCGAAAAAATTATAATGTAATAAAAATTATTCAAAAATTATATTCATATTTTTTTGTAAATATGAAATTGTATTCACGTGATACAAAACTATAATCGTGTGTGTGTGTGTGGAAAGAAAAAAAAAATAATAATTAAAAGATTAGTAAATTTTCGGTTCGTGATTAGATCTGACAATGGGAAAAAGGCGAGTCTCGTGCTTGGAATCTTTTAGTTTCCCTTTTATCTCATCCCACGCAACTGTTCCCATTCTCGTTAGCACGAAGAACGACGATCCTCGAGTTAATCTAACAGCACTGGGTTTCTCTCTCACTCACTGAGATCTCTTTCAGATGCTGCATCTTCGGGGATAACTACGTCTTGTCTAATTCCCTCTATATCCAAGTACCCCTCCCCTTCCTCTTTCCCAAAAAAAAAAAAAAAAAAAAAATTCAGAAGGGGTGCTAATTTTTTCTCGCGGAAGTAAAACCTCGCGGGAGAAGGAAATACACACCTGGTCTGTTCTCATAGCCACAGGAGATCAACAGACAAATGACACGCGATTCTCATTCTCATCTATTTCATGCCCCCCCCCCCCCCGCCCTTAATTCCCATCCCTTATATAGTCCATCACACTTGTAAACCCTCCCTCTCTTTCCATTTACCTCGAGTTACAAACTACCTTCACTAAGCGAATTTGCGATTAATGTCTTACTCGTGCTCCCCGTGTGAGCGCAAATTTCCCAAAAACAACTAAACGATTTTTTCCCTTCTTTTGCATTTGTCTTTCTCTCTCTTTTTTTTTGGTCCAAGATCGTTATTTAGGGCGAATCAACTTCATTTAGTAGGGGTAGAGAAAAGGTGAGAGAATGTTGAACTATGAATCAAGAGTAAAATAGAACCTTGATTTTGCTACGTGTAAAACATTTTTTTTTTTTTTTTTTTAGGGAGGAGGGAAGATTTTTACGATTTGAGATTCGTTGGGAAATGAAAAATTCATTAAATAGAGAATAAATGAGATAATTGTAAATTAAGATTTAATTTAATAAAAGCAATTTTTCATTTTTATGAGAAAAATTAATTTTTTTATTCTTAAAAAAAAAATATATATATAAACAGACAGAAAATCATAAACGTTCCACGCCAAGGTATGAAATGGCATATTTAAAAAAACAAAAAAAAAAAAATAATTTAAACCCATCTCATATATGCTTATGTGTAATATCATAATTCTCAATTATTTTTGAAGTCGAAAAAAAAAGATAAACGTTTATTTTCTCGCTTGAGATGTTACGAAACTCTGTATATATAGTATTGCTGCACGCGCGTGCCATTTGATTACAAAGTCGGCAGTAAATCCCCCGGCAGTAATTCCTCCTCTGGCAATTGTAGATAAAACTTGAATAAGTCATAGACTTAATTTAACCCGTGCAACGGACCAACGCCTTCCTCACTGAGATTTCTTAATTACAAACGTTTCCAAGACATATAAGAGGCATAGTGGTAGGAAAATTGTCGTCAAGGGCGTATATATATATATATAAGGGTTTTACCCTTCCAAGATTTACGGATTCTTATATAACTAAACATCCTTCCTTCCTCATACCATTTTGTGGATGCAAACGATAAAGCATTTCTTTTTTGGTTGCCTCTTTGTCATTTTTATCGCAATTATTTACGAGTTAATTACTCTCATGCACTGCGTTATATACAATTTTTGCCAATTTTTAATGTTAATTAAAGTTTTTTTTATTAAATTCACTTTTTTCTGCTGCAATTATATGCTTAATGAGGTTATATAATAATTAATTAATCTTTTCCAAAGCATTTTGACATACTGAAGCCAAGTCTGACCTCAAAATCTGACAATATTTGAGGTCACATAACATCGAGAGATAATTTTTGTTTCAAAAATGTTATTGCACTATCTGAAATTACTAGTTTTATGCTTTAAAATGCATTTTGAAATTTTGAAAAATCTTTATTTGACTCGAAGTTACAGCCATTTGAATTTTCTGCTACGAATATTTTTTGACATTGGTGAATTTAACAATATTCGTAGCAGAAAAATCAAATGGCTGTAACTTCGAGTCAAATATAGATTTTTTAATGTTTCAAAATACATTTTAAAGCAAAAAAATCGTACTTTCAGATGCTGTAACGATCAGTTGGGGGAAAAAAAAATTATCTTTTGATGTTACAACACTTTTAAAAATGTCTTTTGAGTTACAATATCTCGAAAATCTGACATTCTGTATAAGATTCTTATTGAGCACATTAAAAAACTTCGAATCTTTTTAGTCTGGTTCCTGCTTTTGAAATAGGCACAAAATTTTGCCGGACTCTTAATCATAAATCCGAAGAGCATAATTTTCAAGCACAAACCTAAAGTATAATTCTTAAGCATAATCCGGAAGCATAATTCTCAAGCATAAGCTGGAAGCATAATTTTTAAGTATAACCCTAAAGCATAAGCTTAAAGCATACTAAAAAGCACTACCTGAAATTACTAGTTATATGCTTTAAAATGCACTTTGAAATTTTGAAAAATCTTTATTTGCCTCGAAGTTACAGCCATTTGAATTTTCTGCTACGAATATTTTTTGACATTGGTGAATTTAACAATATTCGTAGCAGAAAAATCAAATGGCTGTAACTTCGAGTCAAATATAGATTTTTTAATGTTTCAAAATACATTTTAAAGCAAAAAAATCGTACTTTCAGATGCTGTAACGATCAGTTGGGGGGAAAAAAAATTATCTTTTGATGTTACAACACTTTTAAAAATGTCTTTTGAGTTACAATATCTCGAAAATCTGACATTCTGTATAAGATTCTTATTGAGCACATTAAAAAACTTCAGAATCTTTATAGTCTTATTCTTGGTTTTGAAGTAGACACAAAATTTTGCCGGACACTTAATCATAAATCCGAAGAGCATAATTTTCAAGCACAAACCTAAAGTATAATTCTTAAGCATAATCCGGAAGCATAATTCTCAAGCATAAGTTGGAAGCATAATTTTTAAGTATAACCCTAAAGCATAAGCTTAAAGCATACCTATTAAGTTTTAATTATTAGTTTATTAAAATTTTAATTTAATTAAATGAGAGAGTTTTTAAAATTTTCATTTTAATTCAATAAAATAATAATTATTTTTCTTTTAATCTGTCCGATCACTACATTGACCTTATCTACTTAAAATAAAGCTTTTGTCAACTTTTAAATGAAAGATAGCGATTTACGTAATAAAGATTAGCATAGATTAATAAATAATTCTTGAAACAGGATTTTCAGTAAATTTCCAAGAGTTTTGGAAAGGGTTTTAAATGCATGGTAGAACGAATTTTAAGCCTGTATAATTTAACACCTTTCGGCTGGAGTTCGAACAAGTAAAGTGGAGAGAAAGAGAGAGAGAGGTTGGGCAACAAAGTTTCCAGTTTTCAACAGCTTGTCTGTCTTACTCTATTGCCACACCCTTCTTCCTATATTACATCCCATTTTCCTTCTTCTTCTTAAGACTTTCTACAATAATAAACTTCAAAAAGTTAAAAAAAAATTTGTCAAAGTCTCTTCTAATAATTTTTAGAAGGAACTAAACTACTTTTATTTTTTTTTTTTTTAATATATATTATTTTTATTTAAAAAATATATTTGGATTAAAAGATTGTTGATTTAATAGAAAAATATATTAAATTAAATAGAAAATATATTTATTACAAAATATATTAATTAAATATAAATGCAAAATGAATTTAAAATAAATTTAATTTAAAAATATAAATGAAATTTTATTCTTTACTGTCTGGGAGAATATTTTAAAAATTCATTCATAGTCGAGTGGAATTATTCTAAAGATATATTTATCTTAATTTTGCAGGCAGTTGCTGGAGGTGGCGGAGGAGGAGGTGGAGGTGGTCAGAGACAGGTGAATGGTGAAACAGTTCCAGGTCATAATGGTTATCCAGTGCCGACATCTTCAAGTGGACACACTCCTATTAATTTGATAAATAATAATTTAAATGGAATTAATGCACAATCAACATTTGAAGCTAAATGACCATCAAAGTAGACTAAAAGGAATAATCGAATTTTAATTCGAGAATAAATGTGGCCAAAAATTTGAACTTTTAAACAAAAAATTAGTTCATTTTGAAATGACTGATTCTTATATTTAACAATTATACACTGTTAAATAAGTGAAATAATAATAGGTTTTTTTTTTCTTTTCTATATAAAAAATTTTGCCCTCGCTAAAAAAAAAAATTAACTAATCTTTCAAAATTTATTGAAATATTTATATTTTTTGTTTCTAAGAAAAAAAAATTCAGAATTATCGTACAAAAAGTAAAAATAAAAAATTTATTCTTTTTATAAAACAGAAATTTTTTTTATAAATATTTTGTTTAGAAACTTAATACAGATGAATTAAAAAAGAATATTGTTTAAAAATCTTTTTATGAAAATGATAATTCTGAATTTTATTTCTAAAATTCTTATAGGAAATATATATATAGATATAATTTAAAAATGTAATGAAAGAAAATTAGTTCTGAATATTTTTGAATGCTAATGCTGAAAAAAAAGGTAGTTTCTAAGTAGATACTCGCTAAGAATGAATTTGGTGCTCTTTAGAATAAATATTTTCAATATGGTTCTTATATTTCGTAGATATTTTATAAACAATTTCTAATAATAATTAAAAATATAATTTTTTCAAGAACCAATGAGAATTTAAAGAAAAAATATCTTTTTACCAAATAACAAGAACCATATTGTTTATTAAATAGATATTAAACTGGAATCTTCTTATTCAAAATAAGATGTTAATCCAAAAAAATTTTTAGCAAATTTTCACAAAGTATTTTACGATTCAATTTTTTTAATTTTAAAAAAAATAGTCAATCATTTTTTTTTCCGATAAAGAAATATTTTTCTCTAAACATTTTTCAACTGAAAACAATAGAATTAAAAAAAAATTTTTTTTTAAATCCTTCAATACAAAAAATTTAATTTAAAAATCGTAAAACACTTTATATAGTAAATTAACAAATTTTTTCATTAAACAAAAATAATTATTTAAAAAATGAAAATTAGTTGCAAATTATTGTTATTCAGTGAAATTTTAAACAACTTTGTTATTGTATATTATATTATATATGAAGAAAGCAAAAAAAAAAAAAAAATTCTACGCAATTTTTAGAAAAAAAAGTTTTATTATTTTAATTTTAAGTTTTTGAGGGGATTTTTTTTTCTCGTTTTAAAAGTAAACATAACCAAAAGCCTGAAGCAATGTTCGTATAAGGTTTCTGAACAGTTAGTTATTCGATGAAATAGGAAACCTTTAAGTTAGACAAGAAGGTAGAAGGGAGGGGGGGGGGGTGAGTGGTTTGCAAAAGGAGTTTAGGGCAAATTTTCAGATAGATCGAATCGCCATTGCACAGTCCAAGCCAGTTTTACCCTGGGGGCACATACGTTAAGGGGGTGACTTAAGCATTGTTTCAACTTCGAATCTCCGCGCGCCAAGGCCCCCAGATTGATGTCGCGAACTTTTGCCGCTATACCTTATTTGCGAGTCAGATAACGAGGCTGAGTTATGTCAAAAGTTTTACGAACGGCCCTATCGCGAGCATGAAAATGCTTTATTTTCTCTTGCGATTTAACATACGTTCAGAAATTTGTCATTCCTTAAAAAAAAAAAAGAAAAGAGAAACCATTCACAAAGGACCAAAAAAATCCCTTCAAAAATACTTTTTCAGATTAATTTAAAAAGATATGTTTTAATAGAATTATTATTATTATTGTTATTATTGTTATTTTTGTTATTTTTGTTATTCATGTTATTTTTGTTGTTATTGTTATTATTATTTTTATTATCATTATTACTGTTACTATTTTTAATATTATTTATATTATTATTAAAATTCTATAATTGTATAATTGTATAATTGATAATTCTAATCTACAATCTACTATTATTATATATACAATTATTTACAGAAACTTGTAAATAATAAAAATCGGACGAATAATATTGAAAAGTGCTTCAACTAAATAATTATTTGCCTCTAGTTAAATATACATATATATTATATAAATACTACTGAAATATTTGTATAAAAATGTGACTTAATAAAAAAATTCTTTTCAAATTATAACAATCAAGAAAAATTGTTTTTAAAATCGACAATACAGAATACATTTATTGCATCAATAAAAAAAAGTATTAAAAAAAATTTTTTTTAAATTAATAAGATTTTACGGAATTTTTTTTTTTTTATTGTTATTCCCTCTAATGGAGAAGAAAAATTTCCTTTTATTTCAAAATGTTTCTCAAGATGTTTAATAATAATTTGTAAATAATAATGATTATAATAATAAAACCAAAAAAGCAATACTCAATAGAAATTAGCAAAATATTCAGCAGCAAAAAAAAAAAAAAAAATTAAAAATTAACATAATAATGTAAACGATTTATTAAAATCAAACAATCATTAATTAACTTATGTATCATTTGTTAAAAAAACAGAACTTTTTGTTTTTATAATTCGATGGTAAAAATTTCTCCAAAAAAAAAAAACAATAAAAAAATTAATAAGAAAAAAATTTTTATTCTTAAAATTTTAATTCGTTGAAAAAATAAAAAGTCCTGTTTTTAAATATAACAAAATCACTTGAAATATAAATTTATAATAAAAATTTGTTTTTGTATTGTAATTTCTGATAGAAAATTATACAAATAAAAATCTATTGTTTTTGATGTTATACTTTTACAATTTTTTTTTCTCAATAATGGTTTTTTTTACAATTAACAAAAGGGAATGATAATATAATATTCTTAAAATAAGAATATTTTTTAATTTTTAATTATTTTTTTAAAGAAGTTATTAAAATTCTAAATATAAGAATAAAATGCATGAATAATATTCTAAAATTTATGTAAGAAAAGAGAATATCGAGAAATATAACTTTTTTTTTATCCTTTTTTATATCTAAAGATTGTAGTGCCTGTTGTCTTGAGAATATACTCGAATGTTCTACTAAAATATTTAAAGCCAGTACGTGATTGGTTGCAAAACTCAATAATTTACCAATCATACGCGGTCTTTTGTGTTTTATATGAAACGTTTCGAATAAATCGCATTGTGTATTCAAGAGAGCAAAATCCAACTCATCGAGGGTGCGAATACCGACCATCTCTCTCTCTATACACATTGCAAAAAGCAAATCGAAAATAGGGCCAATTCTAACTCGCACGAATTGACTTGAAATTCAGCTGAACATTGCAAATTTATGACAATAGACAAAATTACAAATTTCCAATTTCTACCAACTTTACAATACCTTTTACTTATATACATTTTAAAATCATGCCAAACACGTGCGAGATTAGAACATTTTTTTATTTTGCAAATTGATAATATTCAAATTTATTTCTGATAGAAATTTTTTTTTTTAATTTTTATTTTACATTAATTTACTTGAAAAATTAATTAATAATTAATTATTTTCCATCCATTTAGCTAAATTTCCATTTAACCGAATTTATTAAATCAATTTTTTAATTTAGCCGATTGTTATTAATTATTTTTATATATATTTAGCTGAATTACTATTTAACTGAATTTCTACTAAATTAAATTAATATTAAACCAAATTTCTATGAGATCTAATTTTTTATTAAATCAAATTTCTATTACACCAAATATATCTTAAACGAAATTTTTTTAAACCGAATTTATAAATTAGTTGGAATATTTATTTAGTTGAATTTTCATTTAATTTCATTTAAACTAATTTGTATCAAACCAAATTTCTGTTTAACCTAATTTATATTAAACCTGATTTTTATTAAACCAAATTTTTATTTAACTAAATTTCTATTAAACCTAATTTTTATTTAACCGAATATCTATTAAGCTGAATTTCCATTAAAGGGAATTTTTATTAAATTAAATTCATATTAGACCAAAATTTAACTAAATAATAATTTTGTTAAATGAAATTTTAGCTTAATGAAAAAAAATTCGGTAAAATTCAAATTTTCACAAGTACAAATGTATGAAATAGAAACTAGTAAAAAAAAATTTTAATTTATTTAAATTTATTTAAAAAATAGCCTAATTAAAATATCGCTTAAATAAAAATTATATTAAATGTAAAATTTTGTTAAATAAATATTCGGCTGAATAAAATTTGGTTACATAAATTTTTTTGTTAAATATGAATTATACTAAATTGAAAATATGGCCGAATATAAATTATGTTAAATAAAAATTTTGTCATAAAAAGTATGATAAATGAAAATTTGGCTTAATAAAAATTGTAATAAATAAAAAGAAAAACAATATAGGTAAAACTTATTTTGGTAAATTAAGGTTCATTGTGTATGTGCTATTTGGAAGTGAAATAACGAAATGGCTATTCCGGTGAGGAATGGTAAACGTTTGATGTAAATTGGCAATTTTTCCTCGAGCGACTCGGGGTAATCATTGGCAATTAGAGCGCGGCCCACCGGTAAATGTTATTTATGACTACGATTAGCGTCGGCGCACCTACCCATGAAGGTGAATAGAACACAAAACCAAAACACCTAACCTTTTAATTATCGGGAGGAAAATTACTAACACATTTAGAAAATTTCTTCTCGCAACAACTGGCGAAATACAAATAGCCAATTTTTTTCGTACACTTTACAAATTTATTACAGTTAAATAATTTTTTGTTTTAAATAAACGAGGAAAAAAAATTTTTTTTTGGTAAATTAGATTCGGTAAAATAAATTAAGGGTTATAAAATTCAGCTTAATAGAAAATCAGTTAAATAAAAAAAATGCTGCTCAATAAGTCATAATAATAAATAATAATAATAAAAATAATTGAACCTAAATTGCAATAGACTAAAAATAAGCAATTTTATTCCATTTTTTGGGATAGAATGTTTTCCTGGAAAATGAACAAATTCCTTACAAATTCAAATAAAATTAATCAGCATGTTTCTATTATTTTTTTACCTTAAAACAACACGTAATACCTTCAAAAAAAACCTACCAATTGAACATAAATTGCAGTAGACTAAGAATAAGCAATTTTATTCTATTTTTTGGGATAGAATGTTTTCCTGGAAAATGAAAAAATTCCTTACAAATTCAAATTAAATTAATCAGCATGTTTCTATTAGTTTTTTACCTTAAAACAACACGTAATACCTTCAAAAAAACCTACTAATTGAACCTAAATTGCAGTAGCCTAAGAATAAGCAATTTTATTCCATTTTGATGGATAGAATGTTTTCCTGGAAAATGAAAAAATTCCTTACAAATTCCAAAAAAATTAATCAGCATATCTCTATTATTTTTTTACCTTAAAACAACACGTAATACCTTCAAAAAAAACCTACCAATTGAACCTAAATTGCAGTAGCCTAAGAATAAGCAATTTTATTCCATTTTTTGGGATAGAATGTTTTCCTGGAAAATGAACAAATTCCTTAAAAATTTAAATTAAATTAATCAGCATGTCTCTATTTTTTTTTACCTTAAAACAACACGTAATACCTTCAAAAAATCCTACCAATTGAACCTAAATTGCAGTAGACTAAGAATAATCAATTTTTTTCCTTTTTATGGGATAGAATGTTTTCCTGGAAAATGAAAAAATTCCTTACAAATTCCAAAAAAATTGATCAGCATATCTCTATTATTTTTTTACCTTAAAACAACACGTAATACCTTTAAAAAAACCTACAAATTGAACCTAAATTGCAGTAGACTAAGAATACGCAATTTTATTCCATTTTTTGGGATAGAATGTTTTCCTGGAAAATGAAAAAATTCCTTACAAATTCAAATTAAATTGATCAGCATATCTCTATTATTTTTTCACCTTAAAACAACCCGTAATGCATTCAAAAAAAACCTACCAATTGA